GGGGGGGGGGGGGGGGGGGTGTTACAGGACATAAATCCGATTGAAAAACCAAGAGTGAGTAAATCAGTATACACTCAGATAATTGTATCCAATCTATCGACAGCTAGTTTGTAAGCATAGCATGTCCACAAACCAGAAACAGAGCTAAACCAATAACAAATTTGTGAAACTCATCTACAACAACCGAAGCAGAAAGGAATGTGTGCGAGCACCTTATAATTCTGCCGGCATATCCTTCAGCAACAGTCACTTCTATGAGCGAATTGCACCTTCCCCTGGCCTTTAGGCAGTATTTTCTACACAAACAATCCATAGAAGGCCAAAAAATGGTGCCTCTACTGCTGGTGAAAGGTTGCGTGCATTGTATGGGCAGCTAAGCATCCAAAAACCCATTTAAAACGCCTACAGACACGGCTGCTGCTAACAAAATTATTTGTTTGCATGCTCTGGAATGAGACGTTGACGCAATTCAGGAGATGCACCAGCCAGCTCTGTAAGAGGTTTAGCATGATTAACAAGAGAAGAATTGTCAAACGGACCCAAAAGGCAAAAGTAGGATAAGATAGTAGCACCCACCTTGAGGTGTGAAGTCGAATAGAGGAGGAAGGGGTTGGCCACTCGGCAAACATGCATTTGGGGCCCTTAGATCGTCAAAGAAAGGGTGTGCACATGCATCCAACTGAAAGTAAACACAATATAATAAGAAACAGATTTCCAAAAGGGTGCTTCATAATTCTTAAGAAGTTTAGAGAATTTTACACGTCCAATTTGGAAAAACAAACATTCTCTCAACTTTAAGTCAATCACCACACAGTTAGAGAATTAGAAATAGCTCAATAAGTGATCAAGTTTGGTGAACACATGAAGTACCCACAAGACATCAAAGCTAAAGATGGTCAGTTGCTTACTTATAACCAATCCACCTGAAAAACAGATACATAACTAATACAACTACAACATCAATTGAATGTGAGTTTTGCAGCAAATTAAAACTCCTATACCGAGTCTATCTGTTCTGCCCACCCTCACCCTTTAGCAGAAATGCACTCTCATGCCACCGTATCAATGATAATGATCCTGAACCACTAGATGATGGGGGCATACTTGCCCAACCGCCATCATACTATGATCATAGTATGAATAGTTTTTTGAAATTGTCAATATAATGGAATGGGATGATTAGATCTGAGGGAGCTTTTCATTTTTCATTATTCCATAGCACCAACAGATCGACCAAGTACTTTGGGCTACACAATGGTAGAAAGAACTTACATTCAACATTCCTTAAGGAAACCAAGACACTTTGAGAAAGAAGAAAAATTGCAAAGCTACAGTAATTAAAATATCTCTCACTTTCTGTTACATCAAGCATGCATTAAAAGGAGAGAAGGTTGTGGGTGAGGCTTTGTTGGGGATAAGGCTTTGTTCAGTTGAATTGAGGAATTGAAAATAGAAAGATTATCCAGCTGATATATCACATATCCAAATCTAATAAGAAAGAAATCACATCACTCACAGCAGTGCACCGCAGATTTGGTGAATACTGGAGCAGCCTTGATACAAGATCCACTGCTTCAGGTGGCATTCGCTTGTAAAATACCTGGAAAGTAAAACTTTGGTCAGTTTTCTATTTCTTTTCCCCTCACTCTTTTTTTTGTTTAATAATTAATGACAAGAAAGATGAGATGAAGATACATCATTTTAATTGATTATCAACAGACCTTGTGCCATGGATGAGTTTTTATCTGAGGAAATTTGAATTCACTATAATTTGGATTCATACACTTGATTTCCTCTCTGGTGGGTGTCCCCAAAATCTAACACAACAAAAGAAACAAAAAAAGTAGGAAACAAGAAAATATGAGATGCATACTAAGAAAAGGACATTAGGTAAGTAAAAGAACAAAGAGTCAATAGCAAACCTTAATAATTTCAACCAGCTGATCAACACCGCTTTCCCCGGGAAACAGAGGCTGCATCCAATGCAACATCCAGTATACATGAGAACTAACATTATAGTTTCTTAACAGATGAAGATGATGTTCAACAAGAGAACTTGAAGCAAAAATGTGCAATTTCCACTAAAAGATATGGTTATGTTTCAGAAGCGGATACATCCTATTGGTTGGAACATCAAGAAGCTAACCAAGAAAGCACATAGTTGAGAGAAAGATTTGGAAAAGACAATTTGCCCCTGCCCAATTTCAAGCCCTTAAGATCAACAAATTCCATATCTCAAACACTAAACTGCAGATAACACGGTACACCCCTAAAAGACGGGATGGGGTTGACAATGCACAAATAGATATCATTAGAACAAGATGCAAAAGAACACCAGAGAAGAAAACTTGAAGTTCTGAAAAAAGAAAATAGAAATTAACAATTCAGTTCTCAAGACATGTCTACTTTGCATAGTTAACATTCTAGCACTCAGTCCCAGTTATAGGTACAGCTACTCTGTACCAATGGGCCTTTGGTCTAATGGTAGTCCTTATATTGTGAAGGCTTTGCCTCCTTAAGGTCAAAGGTTCAAGCCCCCTCCCCTCCCCCAAAAAAAAAAATAAATAAAGGTACAGCTACTCTGCATAGTTAAAGATATAGACACTTCTATTCTGCACGAATAACATTCCAATAGTGTGTCATATATAACCTGGANTAAATAAATAAATAAAGGTACAGCTACTCTGCATAGTTAAAGATATAGACACTTCTATTCTGCACGAATAACATTCCAATAGTGTGTCATATATAACCTGGAATCACCTGTAAAACATGTAGTATTTTTCTTTCTTTTGATGAGCAACAAAATTTTTGGTATCCATAAACCAACAAAGATGTTCAGTTGTGTATACTGTAAAATACATGTCCCACCTAAAAGCTCAATGAAACTGTTGGCCATAAAAAGTTCAGAAATTGCCAGAAAGCAACTCAATTATACACCAACCTGTCCCAGAAGTAGCTCAGCCAGAACACAACCAGCAGACCACATATCAATTGCAGTTGTATATTCAGTAGCCCCGAAGATCAGTTCTGGAGCTCTATAATACCGTGAGCAGATATATGATATATTGGGTTCACCAGGGACCTAAAATAAAAATAAGGCAGATAAATCATGAAATGGAAATTTCCATTTCATAAGACCGCTTCAATTTGCTGAAATACAAACATACCAACATCTTTGCACTCCCAAAATCACAGAGCTTTAGTTGATGAGTATGGGGATTGACCTGCAGCAAGGACAATAATCTCACTATTCACAATGCCTTTTACACAAGGCATACATTTAACAACTCAAGGTACTATACATCATGTCACCTCTCTACTAAAGCCCTTTCCAAGTTGTGATTCGTGGTTAGTAAAGTAAACCAAAAAACTGGTAATATCAAGAACAATCTCATATACTGAAAACCAGCAATATGAACAACAATGTAATCTCAAAGCTGTAATAGCTGAAGATATCAGATCACTCTAAATCTGATTAGAAAGCATGTATGAACTTTTATTATCCTGACTTCTTAATTACTCAAAAGAAACTAACAAATTTAAAGGGAGGTCTCCAAGCCCCAACATTTTCAGCAATGAAGAGGGCATTCCATTTTAATTTTTGTTATCATGAGTCACAAGAAATTCATTGTTCTCATGCAGTAAATGAAGCAACAATAAATCACCNAAAAAACTGGTAATATCAAGAACAATCTCATATACTGAAAACCAGCAATATGAACAACAATGTACTCTCAAAGCTGTAATAGCTGAAGATATCAGATCACTCTAAATCTGATTAGAAAGCATGTATGAACTTTTATTATCCTGACTTCTTAATTACTCAAAAGAAACTAACAAATTTAAAGGGAGGTCTCCAAGCCCCAACATTTTCAGCAATGAAGAGGGCATTCCATTTTAATTTTTGTTATCATGAGTCACAAGAAATTCATTGTTCTCATGCAGTAAATGAAGCAACAATAAATCACCACGGGTAATTCGGGGATGTGGGGTTGGACTTGAGGCAAATCGTAAACTTGGACATCCTGGATTCCATTATCGCCAGTGACTCGTATTTAATTGATACATGTAGTTAGTGGGTGAATGCAGGTATCTGAGGTTTACTCTACATGGGTGAGTTCATTGTGGCCCTGCCTTGGAGAAGTTTCTTGTTACTCGGAAAGAAAAAAAAAGAAGCAACATGAAAATTCACACATAACATCAATGTCATATGTTACACCTTATTGCCATTCAACCAAGGGATCGTATCACAACCATTCACTTGGTCAGAGTTAGCACAAAAATCACTTTCTGAATTTGTCATAGACAGATACTGATTCATTCAAAACCATTCATTAACAAATCAATCTCCCGTCAATAACCTGTTAAGCTATTAGACCGGATCCTTGAAAGTGGTAGGAAAAAAAAAAAGACAGCCTAGTACACGAGTGTACATGAGGCAACTGTCAATGTGGGTCTGGAAGGGTAAAGTGTACTTTTACCCAAGTCCATGACTATGGTCACAATATAAAATACAGAATATGGTCGAATATACTATTGCATCTAGTACCCTTAAGTGGAGGATGCTGCAAGTGCACATGCACATTTGCACAAATAGTAAAGACTATATACTTGTGTCTCACAAATAGCCAAACAAGTTCAATAACATGTAAAAAAAAAATGCAAGTTTTTGCAGAATTTACAAAACGAGCAAAAAAATGATATGACTGTGCCAGGACACAGTCGAAAATTACCTAGTGAACACCTACAAAGTGAGTGCAAATTTTGTTTATAACGTGCTAAACTCTTTTTGGACTGAAAATTCCCACTGCATTAATATCTGAACCAAATACAAAGGCAAAAAACCTTACCAATAGGTTCTGCGGTTTAATATCACGATGACATACACCAATCACATTGTGTATATAATTTAGAGCACGGCATATCTGTAAAAGAGAAACGCCATAATCTAAAATTAAAACAAACCAAAGCACACATGACAAGCATGTAACTACCAAACCCCTCCCCCGAGTCCCCCTTTACCAACTAAAACAAAAAGGAAAAAGAACCAGAAATAATCCAGTGTGGCAAGCAAAGAGTCCCGATCTAAAAGGACAACCGGAATTAGTAAAGCTTCACAAATCTTACCTGATATGTGTAAAGTTGCACATGTAAAATGGGCATGTTCTGGTTCATCCTGCTATAGTGCCTTGAAACTCGGTAGACGGTTTCAGATACATACTCTAGGACAAGGTTGAGGTATACTTCATCCTTTTCAGTGGTGGAGAAGAAACAATGCTTCAGTTGAACAACATTTGGATGATTAAGTAACCGCATAATCTGGAGTTCTCTATTCTTGTATCTTCTATCCTGTAGCACCTTCTTTATAGCAACAGCTTCACCAGTTTCCAAGCATTTTGCCTAAAACATATGTCGAAATATAATAAATAAAAGAAAAACTAAAGGGAACTGATTGATGCTTAAGTAACTACAGGAAGCTTTCAACCAAAGCCAACTTTCTGTATAGCATGGGTCAATCATTTACAAGTACCTGAAAGACAACACCAAATGAACCTGTGCCAACTACGCGCTCTGCCATGTAAGACATCGTCTGGGACAACAGGAAATCACATNATAGCATGGGTCAATCATTTACAAGTACCTGAAAGACAACACCAAATGAACCCGTGCCAACTACGCGCTCTGCCATGTAAGACATCGTCTGGGACAACAGGAAATCACATCAGTTTCCGTAAAGCATCAAATCCTACTACTGGTCTAGGTTATTCTACAGGTAAATGGTTCTAAATGAAGCTGGAACAATGTAATAAAAGTATCTTTTATTGTCAATGACTGAGATCGCATCAAGTTCAAAACAGATACAGCCGGATAAAAGCTATTCCTCTTCATCCCCAAAAGGGAAACAAAAAAAATTTTGCAGGGAAGAGCAAAATCTACCCTCACTAATCCTAGAATGACAAGAACATGAGATACACCATGATTCCATTAAACAAACTATGTGTTAAAAAGAAATCCAAAAAACCTAAATTAGGGACTGCAGTAGCATTAGATCAGAGAAACCAATTGACCTGTTTTTGTTGTCCATTTCGACCACCTATGGTGGTCGTAATAATCTGGCCTGTTTCTGTTCCATGCCCATTAACAACAGTAGGCTCCATATCCTGCAAGATGCAAAATTACAGTCAGGGACGTTATAAACACCATGACAAGTTTTAGATTACCACAATTCTAAAAAAAAAAATTTGAAGGAAAATAAATCAGCAAATAACCTTCATGCCTTCGTCAGAATCGTCTCTAATCTTCATTTCGTGCATTCCTTTGGGAAGCTCATCATAGCCAGATTTTACAGGTTTAGCTAGAGAAGACACGCTGGATGTGCTTGCAGCCATTTCCTGAGATGTAGAAGTTAAAAGACGGTCTGGGCCTGTGATACATTTCTCCATTGATTGTAACTCATCAGTTACCCTCCTGTCTGCCTCTTGCTCAACCTTCACCCTCTTTATGCTAGAATCCCCACCCTAGAGGCAATAAATGAAATTTATATTAGAAAATATGGTAAAAAGGTTACAAATTGCCGCAAAAGTCAAGTTCAATGATGCACAAATAATCATAGTGTCACACAAAGCTCATTCTAGGTTATCAAATTAGATTGCAGTTACCTCATCACGAATAAGGGACGGTAAAAGATACAGAAGGACAAGCATTTCAGATGCAAAGATGTAAGCCTGAATGCAGCAGAAACTAAAACGGGATGCCCAACCCAAGAAATTATGCCGGCCAATATGAAATCTTATGCAACTCAGAAGTATATCGAGTTGCACTTCAGGTCTACCGGCAAGCTAACTACTAAACTGCCAACAATTATTAACTCAATAATGCTTATCAGCATAAATGCACAAGGCAATTTCTTCCATCCTTGTCTGCAAATTCCCAAATCAACTAATAACAATTATCGTAGTTAGGTTCTAATTCCAACTCCCATATTCAAAATTAGCCCACACAATGTTTGACAACTTGTAAGGGTAACTATACCCATTTCAATTTGTTTCTACAAATTTATTTTTCTTTCAAATATTCAAGCAGCATGAATGCTCGGGGCATCCATAACGCAATACAAAATCGATATATGTATATATATATATATATACACAAATAACCTTCAACCCTCAGCTAATCTTATATCAAATGAAATGCATTAATGACCTCCTAAATTAAAGGGAATCTAAAGAACAAAAATTAAAAAGCAAAAAAAAAAAAAAATTGGAGATAAAAAATATATAGGAACTAAACTATACAGCCCAATAATATCTCAACATAGATATCTGAAATAGAAGCGATCACACAACAAGCAAAGAATAAAGATCTCTTTTCTGCTGAGAAACATTCATGAAACAGAAAGTCACACAATTTATTCAATTTACCAAAAAAAACCTTTCTGACTGAGCTGATTCTTTGTCAATTTTCAGCTATAAATAGAAATTATAACAGCATTCACAATTCTATCTTTTCAATTCCCTTTCCCTCAAACATACACATACGTAGATTCAGCGTTTGAGATAGATAGATAGAGAGAGAGAGAGAGAGAGAGAGAGAGTTACGGGGTCTGAAGAAACGGAGGAGCGGCCAGAGGCAATGCTCTTGAGCCGACGCATCACATTCATTATGGAGATTCCACAAACAAGACGCCAAAAACCTACAGATTTCCTTTCTCTCTCTCTCTAAAACACAGAAATTCAACAAAGAAGAGAGAGAAAGGAAACTCGATTTCTCTATCTCTCTCTCTCTCCCTCTCTCCCCTCCGCGTTCAAGTTTTCAACACAGAGAAAGGAAGAATTCGCGAGAAAGAGACAACACAAATCCCTCTCACCCCTCCACAGCCTCACCACCTTTCCCCTCTCTCTCTCTCTCTCTCTAAACTTTCGACTTTCTCTCTCTATCTGTGTCTCTAAATAGCCTCCAAATGGCTTTTTTACGTTTCGAATTCAATTTTTTTTTTCTANCTCTCTAAACTTTCGACTTTCTCTCTCTATCTCTATCTCTAAATAGCCTCCAAATGGCTTTTTTACGTTTCGAATTCAATTTTTTTTTTTCTACGGTCAAAGTCATGAACAAAGCCAATCATTCCGGCGTCAATTCGTACATCCGTCAAACTTGGAATTATGACCGTCGATGTTTCTCATGATAGTGATCCGACCGTCGGTGTTTCAGCTTTATTGGATGTTAGACTTTTGAGATAGTGTGAAATTACGAAAATAACCTTGGTTGGTGCGAGTAATACGAAGAGTGGGGTTTCAGACAATTATTATGCTGTGCGGAATATTCGGAATCGTTGTCTGCTCATTTGACGCTTCATTTTTCGCGGTTAGTAATTACAGCAGCTTGTATCGAATTATTATAAAAAAATCACTCAATTTCTATATTACTTATTTATTTAAATTGATACAAATTATTAAAAAAATTATATGTCTATTTATTAAATGAGTTATAAGATATGATTGATGTTACCCCACTAATTATATAATAACAAAAAAAAATCTTAATTAAAAGTTCCAATGTTACAACAAATTGAACCATTTGTTAAATAAGTAAATGATGTGATAAATGGATAATCGGTGGGTGACATAAGAGTAATTGTGTAATAAATCGGGTAATCGTAATAATTTATTAAGTGGATGATAGGGTAATAAACAGATTAAGGTACTCTAATCGAACAAGACTTTTTTAATTGTACGCGCTAGACAAGTTTATATTTTTATTATATAAACCTGTTAAGATCAAATTTGATTTCACTAATCTCATGTAAAAAATCATGTATATATAGAGATTTAAAATATTTTTGACTTTTGTATCTCTTGATTTGCTATTATATATACTAACTAGTTATTGTCTGTGCCTGAAGACACAAAATAATAAAAAAATAATAAACAATAAACATAGTTGTGATTTATATCCAAAATCAAATGACAAACATAGAAAAAAAATAAAAAAATTTAAGTTAATTAAATTCAATTTAGATAGCATTATTATAAAATAAAATATTTTTAATATTATTATCTAGACTAAAATTATGACTTAAGAGATATTTATGTCTCCCACCTTTGTAAAGAAAATTTTAAAAATTAGTTAGGCAATGCTAAGGCCCTATCATTAATGGGCTTTATTTCTTGATATTGTAAGTGCTTTGGTATGGTAGTTGATGGGTTTAACATAAGGTTGCAACCTTTTTTAAATCCAACAAGCCGTAAAACTAGTACATCCATACAATTAATCTAGTATACATCCAACCACCAAGTTGGATGGTTTAGTGACAAGATAACATCATGTTAACGATCACTCAGGTTCGATTTGCACGGTAATAGACTTGCTTCTAACGCCTTGATGGGATTAGGATCAAGCTATGACTTTAATTGTCCTTAAAAAGAGTTTCTGCAGAGTACACTGTCCAAGCCCCTCTGGAGGACTACTCAGCGGGTTCGGGCTACCGCCTAGGTCACCCCCTCGAAAATCCTTTTACACAGCCAAAAAAATCTAGTATACATCAAAATATTAGGAAATTGGATACTTTTTTTACTGCAATGGATGCAACATGCTCTTGAACCAAACTTTAATAAGACCCGATTTTGCAGGATAGCACTACTAATGTTTGCATTGTGATTCCACTAAGAATTACTAGAAAGTAATCATTAATTTCTCTCTCTCTCTCTCTCTCTCCTTCCCACGCCTGGGGATAGGGATCTTAAATCCAAGATCACCAAGAAACAAAGAGGACCCCATCCCATGATGTATGTGATAGTGCAAGCAACAAAAGAGAAGAATAAGACATGAAGATGGCCCTTCCCAGCTAGAAGAAGCAACATTGCATTATAATTGAATATATCCATTTTTATACACTTATCATTCTAACATAACTACCTCCTCATGTAAGTTAAAGTAAATGAGGAATAACAAGAAAGAAAGCTGCATCGTTTGATGCCTGGATTGAGTTCTTAGTTTCAAATGAAAAACTAGAGGAGATCGAAAGAAATATACCTACATTACAAAGAACAGACGGGTGTTTTAGTGGGACGATGAAGGTAGTTTCCAAAATTTTTTTGAGGCCACAAAAATCTTCTCTCTCCCGTGTGATTCAGGTTCCTTTTCATGTATGGTAGCAGTCCATCTTACTGCATGAGCAATCCGACCTACTTTGTCGATTACCTCAGGCGAATCTCGAATTACGACTGTTCCGCCTGGACGCAATATTCGATCTATCTCCACCATCAAATCCACAAGGTTACACCTGCAATAATGTCACAAAGAAACAAGCCTTATCCTTCCAGTACTAATGAAGTATATTATACGCTTTTGGACAAAAGGGCAACCTATTATTGCATCAGTATGGTCACAAGTGTGAAACCTGACTGGACTTCATAGAATCTGATTCAGAAAATATGATTCGAAAAAGATGAACGTCAATATACACGTGTTTATATATATATGCATATCCATGTATACATACGTATATGAAAATATCTATATAATAAAACACATAAGAAGTTGAATTTTATCCCCAACATATTTTTTCCCCACAAAACATCACATCATCCAATTTTAACATATTTTTTATTTCATTGTTTGTCTATACACAATAGTATACACAAGTTGAGAAAATTTTGTCCAGGTATACATTTTGAGAAAATTGACGCTATTTTTTAGATCAAATAAACAAAGAAATAAAATATTGTTATTTGATATAACAAAATCAATTTTTTGAACACTCGAATTTTATGTTTCATCGTGCCATCAAACACAGGATATAACTAGTATGTATATATAGAGAAAGGGGAGTGATTGCCCTGCAAGAGATTGGTGCCTATAAGCACATTTGCACTTATGAAATGAATCCTTGCAGCCAAATTGTTCTACCATAATCATTTTCCACTCAAGTAATACAATCAGATCTTCGAAAGATTTAAAAAAAAAAAAAAGGATCTTTAAAAGATTACTCATAAGAATGTTAAGAGGGAATAATATATATATATTTTTTGACAAGTAAGAAAACCTAAGAGATTATAGTACACAATTCCAGAGGAACACTTGTTCTGAAGAAACACAAAATCATCCATCCCATTCAGGATAAAATAACTCCACGATGACACATTTTAAATCAAGAAATTATAGATAAAATTAAGACAGTTGAGATAATATTCAAGATAAACAGACCACTATTGAGCTTACCTGCTCTTTCTGGAAGCTGGATCTCTTATAAGCGACTCAATGGAAGCTACATGGATGAGATCATAAGTTCGAGGATATGTTGAGAAAGGTTCACACCTGTAGCATCGGTCATAAATATAAAAAGCATGCAAGTGAATTACCCACAAAAGATAAGTAAATATTGTTCTAAATGTAGCTTGTAAATCCTTCACAGCTATGCAGAACAAAACAGCTCCCATGAGTGAGGCATATCACTCAGAAAAAGCAGCAGAAAACAAATAAGAGCTCATATTTGCTTTCAAATATAAAGAACCACTGATAATACAGACTTAATAATCTTTATCTCTTCCCATTTCTCTAGCCAATGGGGATTTTAATTCAACTAGGGTTATTATTCACCAGTACAGAACTCCCATTATGCCGAAACATGTAGGAGTATGTTGGTCACATAAGATTTCTTTTCGTTCCATGTTCATCTATTTTTTTTTTTGGGTGAGGTCAGAATGGGGGTGGAGGATAAAACTGAGAATCAGGTAACAGTTTAAGCTACAGGGTAGTTTATTTTGTCAAATCTGATATGGAACAATCATAACGCATTACTTATTGCTTTTTCAGTTTTTACAACAAATATGACTCAATAAATAATCTGATGTGCTACTCACATTTCTATCTAGAAAATAAAAAAAGTTTGTATCACAATACTAACCAATCATGGTAAACTCCAACAAGGCCTCTGTCATAAATGACACCAAGTGTTGAAGGCTTCCGAGCTGGAACAACATTCATCACCCATGCAGGATCAGATGATATTGCTGCAGCAAAGCCTCCAAAGAATGCATTCATGTCCATAACATTCCGTATGGCTGGAGTTCCCAGCTTCAAGTTCAATGATTTTTTGTAGTATGCAACCCTCCGTGCCCATCGCCGAGTGTCGGCTTCAAACACATCAACTCCATTTTTCATTTGTGTGGCCCTGGAAGGAGCTTTTATTATCCTCTCTGGCCAATTTGGAATTTTTCCAATAGCATATTCTCCCTTGACAGAAGATATCCTACTCACACATTTCTTTAACTTGAAGTACCTACAAAATAACTGAATCACATTACAAGCACATTTTTGGTAATTTGAGCTGAGCTTCTGATTCGTTGAATTGAGTACAGCACTGTGGCTATAAATTACACACATCCAAGACCTAAAACATGCAGGTCCACATCAATCCTACAAGGGAGTTAAAAGAGATCATATCCCCATTTGTCTTAAATGTTGCAAGATAATTTTTTAAGAGCAATCAAGGATTCAAAATGCATTCTAACAATAATTACCATGCAAAACTTGGGTCATCAGATTCATCACACAATGCAAGCCCAAATTCATTTTGGTTTGGGAGACATGAATCCCCATTAGGCTTTTTCCAGATTGCAGTGCTCCCATCCACAAGTATCAGCTCATAACACAATGTTCTAGCCACTGCCTGGAGATCTGCCCATTCTTTATCTTGCTTAGCCCACTGCACAGGGGGACCAGAGATTACTAGATAACCTCCTGGGCGTAGTAACCGGTCAACTTCAATGAAATACGTTGCATCTACAAAGAAAAAATTCTCCATCTTCATTCAGGAGGTAACAGAAGTCTGCAATAAAGGAAGCAACAAAGTTAAAGAAAACTCACTATAGGCTGTAAAAGGNCATTCAGGAGGTAACAGAAGTCTGCAATAAAGGAAGCAACAAAGTTAAAGAAAACTCACTATAGGCTGTAAAAGGGATTAAACATCGAGAGCAATGCATCAAGTCAAATGAGAAAGCCGGAAATGGGAGTCTTCGAGTNGCTGTAAAAGGGATTAAACATCGAGAGCAATGCATCAAGTCAAATGAGAAAGCCGGAAATGGGAGTCTTCGAGTGCCAAGCATTGCAACAAAAGCTGGTATTCCTCTTTCCAGTGCAAATTGTATTTGTGCCTTATGTGAATCTCGTGGAGCAAAAGACAGGGTTAAAATGTCCTCAGCAAGCAGGTACCCACCAAAACTGGCAACCTGCAAGGTTAATGAATTATACAACCTGCAAAAATGGAGCAGTTGTTTATTAAGAGCTTGAAAGACACAGGAACTCAGATACTACCCCACATCCCATATCAAGAGCTGTTCTCAGACCTCCGCCAGCTATAGGAATATACTGTTTAAGTTTCTCAATATATTGTATTGCTCCATCCGGGAACATTGTGCCACCACCCGGAAAAATAAAGTATGGGCCTTCTTCTTTCATCCATCCCTGATGGCCTTTTCTGTCAGCTATTTTGTTGTATGGCATGTTGTTGTGCCAAATCTGTACATATAAATCAAATAGTAGTCTTTCAATCTCTAAACATGAACAGAATGGCCATTCCGCAAATGATTTTCAAGATGAGCCCAAAAGCATACCTTTTGATCTGACAACNTACATATAAATCAAATAGTAGTCTTTCAATCTCTAAACATGAACAGAATGGCCATTCCGCAAATGATTTTCAAGATGAGCCCAAAAGCATACCTTTTGATCTGACAACATATATGATGCAGTGTTAACAAATTTGTTATTATAGATCAAGTTTTTCTGTTTTAACACAACTGCATGCCTCTTATCTTGGGGTTCCACCCCATTATTTCTCTAGGATTGCCTTATAGCTAGAACATCGAAATTACTGATAGGCAACAAATACCTGGAAATATATTACATGTAATTCTTTTTGAGTATGCAGAAGTCTGCTGGGTGGAATGACTTAGGTAAATCATGGTTTTACACCGAAGGGTGGATCAAAGATGGAAGCAATGAAGCCACTGCNGGAAATATATTACATGTAATTCTTTTTGAGTATGCAGAAGTCTGCTGGGTGGAATGCCTTAGGTAAATCATGGTTTTACACCGAAGGGTGGATCAAAGATGGAAGCAATGAAGCCACTGCTAAACAGCTTAATCTTCGCTCATTAATCAAATCACTTAGGCTTTTTCACCAGTCTAAACAAGCCAAGCTCAAGCTTGTACTTATAAGCTTATTTGCTTAAACACCAATCCCGCTTCAATACCAGCATCCTTAGACATTGGGCTCATCGTAAAACAATTAAGAAGGGACTTTCAGCTGTCTACAACCAAATCTTACAAATTGTAACCAAGAAAGAAATCTTTCATAAATGTAACCATAAATAAGCTAATAATAATAAGCAGAGAAATTGTGCAGGCTGCTCAATGCACCACAATCGCNATTGTAACCAAGAAAGAAATCTTTCATAAATGTAACCATAAATAAGCTAATAATAAGCAGAGAAATTGTGCAGGCTGCTCAATGCACCACAATCACTAAATATGGGGAGAGCGTGTCTGAGTTGCATCAACATAGGTATGGTCACATATAGGGATTGATTCAACTGTCAGATCAAGCTAAACAAGCTCGGTGAATTTGGAAACATGAGCAATACACAAGCCGCATAAAGCCTAGTTTTCTTTCCCCTTAAACAAAAGCAACCACACCCTCAATAACTCAACTAATATTAAAAAAACACTAAGGATCCCTTTTTTTTGGCACTAGAAGCACTTATATGCACATATCCCCACTAACGCGCAATGAGCTAAAAAAGACAGAGTGAAATTTTTACACAAAATGGGCACCGACTAGATGGTATTTTACAATGCATTAATTCAATCGCCAAAGCAATAAATTTTAACCTACAAATCAATAGAGAAGCTCAATTTCCTAGATTTTAATGCTTCAGCTCATAGTTCCACCAAAACTTCCGAATTCTCAAGTAAAACCCGTCTCTTAGTGAATGAATTCAGTAACAATTACCTTGTTCAAGCTCTCGGGCCAAAGAACGGGAATCTGATACCCCTCAGGCGGTGGAATCAAACAGAGCGGGGTCTCCTCCGGCAACGGGCAGTGCCGTTCTCTATAATAATTCATTTCTCTACTAAACTGACTATTTCTCCTTGGATCTTCACACGGCATGTGATCCACAGCATCAGCGGGGCAAGACTCAATGCTCTGCTGTTGGCCGGACTCCACCAAAGCCACCAGGCGGTCGCGTTGCTTCGGATCCGAAGTCGACCTCAGCAACGTCTGCCGCCCCGACGCCGCCAGTGAGTCTCCGAGAGGAGTAAACACCAAGAGGAAGAACAGAAACACGGCGGCGAAGAAAGAGGCGGAGACCAAATCCAGGAGGCGCCACTGCCTCGCATTGCGTTTCGACGAAGGTAGATTCAGATGCCCCATATTGTATTTGATTATCACCAAACAAAATTCAAGATCTGATCACAACATACACACATGCATGAATACCAATTCTGTGTATGTATATACGTATTGGTATATGTATATCTAGGGTTTGATGGTGGTGATGGGGACTGAAGATCTGAGAGATAGAGAGAGGCACAGTGGGTTTAGAGTTTTAGTGAACTTCGTGAGGTCTTACTTGCAATGGAGCTTTCGGGAAAATGTGATGTGCTTTTAAGCTCTCTGGGTCTCTTCTATAATTATAAGGTAATTAATTAACAAGTTATTGATTAAAAACTAAATAATTAATGTTAAGTGGCAAATTATCTATAATGCATTTAAGTTGAATTCTAAAATAAGCAAAACCGAATTATAAATCTTACAAATTTTGATATATTAATTAAGTCAANTTAAGCTCTCTGGGTCTCTTCTATAATTATAAGGTAATTAATTAACAAGTTATTGATTAAAAACTAAATAATTAATGTTAAGTGGCAAATTATCTATAAGTTGAATTCTAAAATAAGCAAAACCGAATTATAAATCTTACAAATTTTGATATATTCATACAATATTAATTAAGTCGAGGATTAAAAAATAAATCAAATATTTATTTTTATAAAATACTAATTAAATGAATTTCTAAATTATTAATATTTGTCAGCAACACGTGTTCGTTAATGACTCTTTCTTCTTTATGCTTACGAGTAAGTTAAATCCATGAATTCACATTTTCTTCGAAAAACATACGTGGGTCAATCCCAAAAAGTTAGCCTAGTACAACTCAATCTCTTGATAAACGCCTTAACAAAGGGTCCAATTCCTCTACTATACAACAGGAGACTGACATTTTCAAAATGACGCCNTAATATTTGTCAGCAACACGTGTTCGTTAATGACTCTTTCTTCTTTATGCTTACGAATAAGTTAAATCCATGAATTCACATTTTCTTCGAAAAACATACGTGGGTCAATCCCAAAAAGTTAGCCTAGTATAACTCAATCTCTTGATAAACACCTTAACAAAGGGTCCAATTCCTCTACTATACAACAGGAGACTGACATTTTCAAAATGACGTCATTTTACATACAAAACAATGTCGTTCTACATGTAAAACTGCGTCAGAACAACACCTTTGATATACAATAGAGGAGCTATGCCCCTTACTGAAGGGTTAGTTAAGTTCGGGGTTCAAATATTCACAAGTGTCTATATATCCTTGGGGCCACTGCCCTTGTACTTACCCAATCCAATGGGGAGATGTCTTACGGGGTACAACATTAGTCTAGTGCGTGAGTAGAAAAACGTACCACTGTAATGCACTGGCATTACAAAAGTTACCAGAAAAGAATGACATAGCAGCAGCCACAAGATTTATGAAACAAGGAAAGTTTATACTGAGGGCTTCCACATGAGGCAATCAACTGAGTATATAAACAACTACTTTTCAAAATATTTTGCCTATAATTGCATGAACATACTGTCCTCGAACATGGTGAAACGACGTCGGTTAAAGGGTTGAACTGCTCTCTTCACCATGCTATTTGTACCAACCCACCTTGATTTAAAAACCTCGGTCGTTTCTAACTGTCTTCAGTACCATACTTCAAAGTTTCCTTGCTGCTTTAAGGTTATAATCATGCTTGATAAGACTTGCCCTTGAGAGCATGGCCTTGACATCACGATCAAATTCACAGCCCGTTTGCAGGACCCGCTGAAAAGTGGTGTTTCTCTGATCTGCATGTCGTGCATACAGAATTTTGTTGTGTGAGTCGATCCGTGCCTGCAGGAACATGGAACAGTAAGATTAACAAAAACATTGGCATAATTGTCACACAGTCCCTATGAAGGTCAGACCAGCCACTAACTCGGTACAGGATATCCAGATGCACATAAAGGAGGCTTGTGGCGGTGATGGGTTTAATAAGTCCAAACAATACCTGTATTTGGTTGTCAGTGATCAAAGCTTCAAGTTCTTTCTCCAGTCCTGCAACGCTTGTTTTAAAAGCATTAGCCATCATGCCCAAATCAACGGAGACAAATGGGTAAGTATATTGGATAAGAGCTTTGTTGCGAATTTGATCATATAGGGTCTCTACATGGTCATGCAAATGGATGTCAAGTAACAGGTTTGCTTTGAGATTTCCAAGATAATCCAGACATGAAGCATAGCGGCTGCAATAATGGAAAAATGAGTTCAGAACAGAAACAAGATATATACTCAGATACCAAGCAATTACAATAATACAGAACGATGGCAGCCACTCCCATTCAGAAGCAGCAGATAAAATTGATCCATTTAAGGTGACTAACAGCATATGAGGATGGATTCACGGAAGGGCGACTAATCTAAAGAAAAAGCAGAAAAAGAAATCACAGCTTTACAACTGAAGATTAAATTGAGAGATAAAACATTTCAGCTTCCCACAAAAATCAGGCTGAATTGAATCAATGCTTAGTAAGCATTTCTTAAACAAGATAGCATGAGTCTGTAAACTGAACCTCTCCACACCTGGTGTCAAAGCACATTTGTAGTGATAAAGAACGTACAAGTTCTCTTCCAGGACCAACAATGTAGAGGATAAAGGTTTAAAAAATGTGAATACAAACATCAGCTCAGGGTAAAAGTTTTTGTGAAGATGTAATGTGCATCTCTTGGCACACTTTGGTGGATTATTCACACATAAATTTTCATTCTTCTTCAAAAAAAACAAAAAAAAACTGAGGTCACACATTCTGCTATACAAGAGAACAATCATGCAAAAACATGCAATATATCACTTTTGTAACAGTCGCAGAGAATAAAATTACCTTGAGTAGAAATCAGAAATAAGCTCCCTTACTTCAGGTACCAGCTCTAAAAAATTCCGGAAGTTAATATTGTCAATAACTTTGGCCTGTCAAACAAAAGCATCTTAATTAGGAAGCAATCACGCATCTTTTAAATTTCAAAACATCAACAATGAACACTTTCAGATGCAAAAACACTATAGTTGCCTTCAGCTCAGCACGATCAAAACTTGCAAGTGCACAAAGTCCACCGTATGTTGCAACATCCTGGGCAGCAATCACTTCAGTGTAGTGGTTGCCTAATTCTGGGCTGGTTTCCAAGAACTGGAGGAAAAAATCATTATGTCAAACCCCACTTTTAGAAGTAAAAAACTTGAAGAATTCAATGAAACAGCATAGACTCCTCCCAACCCCATCAACATCCCTCCTCCCTCCTCCCAAAAAATCAAATGAAAATGGTCTATATACCAATAATGTAGGGAATGAAACGGTTCACCCATTATTTGACAGGTATAACTGGAATCTCAAATAATAGTCTATATACCAGCCTTAGAATTGAAAATGAAAAATGAAAAATACAAAATACAAAAAAAATGTCAACCAAGGCCAGGCAATATTTAAAGACAAAATCATACGAATTAACAACTTCTGACCACTTAATCAACCTGGGTCAAACTGAGATAAAAGCTAAATTTTATCTTTGGCGTGGACATCTTTCCTTGAAAAAAGATAAAAGCTAAATTTTTCTAAAGAAACTAGAGCTGACGAAGCGGATTTAAAGGACCCAATTCTGCACTCAGTACAGCTTATTGGGGACTTAAGTTGGTTAGCATTTCTGCCTTGTTTTATTCAACTAGGCCCATGATAGAACTTTTCTCTATATCACTTTATGAGTTCTGTCAGTCCTGAAGGAAAGTTCACACATATCATATGGACCATCATAAGAAATCCACCATGAAATTATCACCAGAGACATATACTGTTAAAATCTGGTCAATGTTGGTGCATATGTCCATCATTCACATGACCAATCTAAATGATGAAACAAAATGAGAGGTTTAATAAGTTAATTTCAGTTCTCCAATAAAAACCTACACGCAACTTTAAAAACACAAAGAACCTCTTTTAGAAGGATATAGTTTCATAGTATTGAATCCTGTTCTGTAGAAGGATACATTTTTTTAGTCCCTCAAGTAAATCATGAACTTTTAGCAGGATATAGTTTCATAGTATTGAATCCTGCTATGTAGAAGGATACATTTTTTTAGTCCCTCAAGAAAATCATGAACTTATTTAATACAACAAGAAATCCTATTTAAGCACTTCATAATTTATAAGATTATAAGATATGATGGTGAGTAATCACACATCAACCAAGAAAAGAAAAAAAAATGGTGTCCAAGTATCCTTGTTTGACCATTCTATTTTGTATTTTTGTCTGTGTAGTTAAACCGTAACATAATCAGCCCATATAATACTTCAATTACCACTTCTAAGAGTGTGGAAGATGTAAACTACAGCCAACATTTGCAATAAGGTTTTCAAAATGAATCATTAACCTTTTTCCCTTTTTCTGGTAATACACAAACCCACAAAAAATGTAGCATCAATAACACCAGTAAAGACAGCAAAAGATTCATGACCAACCTTCCGGGCAGCAAGCTTGAACTTTTTAGCTTCCAAGTGAGCCAATCCGGCAGCACACCTCAGTTTTGCAACTGTAATGGCATCCAAATCTTGATTTGATTCTGCCTTGCTAACATAGCTTGTAACATGCGTGAACTGACCCATCTCAATGCTGACCAAAATTGCGTTCAAGCACATATGAATTATATGCTTCGAAGTGGTGCAATAATCACGAGTCCGGCCATAATTCTTAAACGCATCCCCAAGTGCACCGTGAGCATAGTAAAAATCTCCAAAATCATTGTATCCCATTCTAATACTTTCTTTGATCAAATTTGTCTACACCCACATACATACAAAGAGAGACTATAAGTCAAAAGGAACACAAGAATATAATTCAAGCACATTTAAACTATATGCTTCGATGTTGTGCAATAATCACTAGTTCGAACAAAATTATTAAACGCATCCCCAAGTGCACCATGAGCATAGTAAAACTCCCCAAAATCATTGTATCCCATTCTAATGCGTTCTTTCATCAAATTCATACACCCACAGACAGAAAGAAAAAGGGGGGGGTGTGGTGGAGAGAGAGGTCAGAATAGAAAAACAAGAAATTTCACTATCTATGAAAAGCGTAATATCAAAAAACATGGGGACAAAGGTAAGATTAAAGAGTTTTGCTAAAAATCCTAAACGATGAAAACCCGTAAAACAGTTGACAAAATACATTTCAAATAACAAAATTAAAGATATACCCTATAAGCATTGAGCTCATTCTCGAGCTTTTCCTTCCTCTGCTCTGCCCGTCGGTCCACAGAATCGGCCCAAGAGAAGTCAAGCCCATAACTGGGTCCCAACCGACCATCGATCTTCTGAACAACCTCTCTGAACAACTGGGTATTCTCACCCTTCTTGATCTCGTCATAGGCCATTCTCAAAGCCTCCAACTGCATCGAAACGTTGTCGCATCGCTCGGAAATAAACAAAAGTCTCGTTATCTTGGTTCGGCCACTGTACAAAGCTGCGTAGGCCTCGATGTCAAGCTGTTCGCCGCTTATGATTGGTCTGTGACGCTGCGAATCGTCACCGCCGTTGGAATAGATCTCGTCGATCATTTGTCCGTCGTCGGCGTCCATGGTTGCGAGTTTCTCCTGTTTCAAAAACCCTAACGACGTCGTTGGGGGAATTAGGGTTTCTCTGTTTCTTCTTCTTTTCTGTGTTGAGTGTTTTGTTGTGTGAAGTTTATCGGAGCCCTAGAGAGAGAGGGAGAGTGAGAGAGGATTTGGGTTTGCACGTGCGAGTTTTATACATGACGTCGTTTCGTCTATTGATGCACTCCCAAATCCGAATATATATTATGTGAACCTAATTTTTAATTTAATTTATTACCTTAATTTGTTAAAAAAAAATTACTAACCTAATCTATTATAGACATTAGATTAGTAAAGAATACTGTGACTCATTATTTTACTTTTTCTGGGAACGTAAAATTTAGAATATCTACAATCATTTGTAAACTACAAATATTAGTTAAACTTGAGAGGTACGAGTTGAGCATTTAATTTCTAAGTGTACGGTTCGTTCAAGTCCAACTCTCCGTCGCTTAGTTACCCAAATGGGTTGGGATTCATTGTTCATCTAATGACCGAGAATATTTAAGTTAATAAATTAAATTAACAAATTATATACAAGTATCATTGCTCTAATTTAAATTTTTTACAAATTGAAGTCTGTTGATGGATCAATCACTAATTTCGTTTTCGATGTTGGGGGAGATGGCGTTGCGAGGAGACCTGTGGTCGGAGGTTGTTGTCTATTCCAACTAGTTTAGGAATTTCGTGACGTATCAAAGAAAACTTTTTACGTGGAAAATCAGTGCGGTCCTAGTTGAATCACTTTCGATGTTTAAGTTAATAAATAGGTATTGTCAAGTGAAAAATAAAATAATCACATGTTTTGATACGTCTAAGGAGTCACTTACCTTTACCCTTTATTTATGAGGGTTTTTATAGTTGGGGTTGTGTGAGACTTTTGATTAGACAAGTTATCATTAGAGCTAATTATGCACCGTTGAGTGTGCATTAAACTAACTCATGCATGTGCCCCAACACCAGATATGTGTCAGCGATTAAGTCAAAAATTCATAAATAGTGTCAAGTGTAACGTAACAAGTACCATGTTTTTTCTGATTACATATGTGCATGTAGTTGTTGACGTGTCAGGCTCAATCGTCGACCCGAAACCTGTAGATCGATATCCAACTTTCGAAGTCTGGATTGTATCTATCACTGAAATTGAAGGTGTGATTGAGGGGTCGAGTCTATGTAATTAGTACAACCTCAATAGAAGAGAAAAGGGGTCTAGAACGATTTATTTGGATAATCTTGTCTTAACCATCAAAACATATTTTAGTCGAAATCTATTTTCTTTCATGTTGTCTGGTCAAAGACAAAATTGCAGCAGTTATATCCACAGCTTAGAGGAAACACAGAACAAGAACCAATTCGAATTTGGATCTTGACATGTTGGTGGCTGATGGTTTTGAGATCCCGGAGAAAATGCTTCTTTTTTTTTTTTTTTAAACTCCTTAATGTGTTGGCCATAGCTCGTATCCATACAGTAATTTTATCAGTTTTTTGTTCTTGAATCTCATTTCTTAATATTGTGACTCTTCCATACCGTGTTTCAGGAACTTGCCAACCAAAATACACCAACAAACCCAACTGTAATCTTATTCTGTATCCTTCTTAGATTAAAAAAAAAATTGCACATTGCTAATAATAGTACACAATGGTTGCTGCTACTTCATGTTACTGTGATACCCAATAAAGGACTCCCTTTCAAAGAATTATTAACAAAAAATATTGAAAAAATAGTAAGCAAATAGTCACTATGAAGCTGCCTCAGACCCTTGTTGATTATGGTCAGCAGCTGGGGCTGTCCAGTACTGCTTGATTGCAATAAGAAGCTTCTCTCTCACATGAGGGCTATGTTCCTGATCGACCATTCTGCTCTCCCATTGCAGTCCATCTACGATGCTCTTGACATTCACTAAGACATCAACGTCGTCTCGTATGATCACACTCCCTTGTGGCCGTAAAATTCTATCCATTTCCAACAGAATATCTTCCATTTCACATCTGTAACACGAATAATATCGCAAGCTGCTCAGAAATGTTGTGTCCGTATGATTAATGAGTCGATGAAAGAACTTGTGCCGCAAAAAATTACCTGTCTTTGTAGAGGGTGAAGATCGCGTCAGCATGAATGAAGTCATAGGTTCTTGGGTAAGTAGACATGGCCTCACACCTAAAAAGACATTATTCATTAGTCAGAATTCTTCAACATAACTCAAACAGGAAAAAAAAGCAAATCAAGTTGAAAAACACAATATTTATCGAAAAAGGTCTAAAATTTTGAAAAGCAAGAATGTCTGAAGAACTAATTCACTACTGAATGGCATGAAACACAATAATTCCGCCTAGAACAAGGGTACAAGTTGTTGAAGGAAAACTATTGGGGGTGAAGAGGCGTACCAGTTTTGATAAGTCCCTATCAATCCACGTTCGTAGATGACTCCAAGAGTTTCAACCTTTACCTCAACGGGGACTATGTTCATAACCCACACTGGATCATTGACTAGTGCAGCTGCAAAGCCTCCCAAGTGAGAATTCATATCAAGCAAGTTACGGTATCTTCCAGGCTCAGCTAGCTGATGGTCCAAAACCTTGTAGTGCAATACTCTTTGCTTCCACAACTCATTATCTTTCCTGAAGATCTCTGCTGTAATTCCAATGACACTCCCACTAATAATCCTTGGAGGGACTGCAGTTAATCTCTCAGGCCACTTTGCTAGCTGCCCCCCGGCAAGTTCTTTGATGTCAGAAACTTCAGGCAGTGGAGTTAGACATGTCTCCATCTTGGTGTACCTGTAAAGATTTCGATCGAGCTATAATAAGAAAACAAGTAATGAATCTTGAGATTTAAAAATAAGAAGATGCAAAAAGAAGCATATAGCATGAATCAAACAGTTGTATTCAACAAAGGACCTCCAAGAAAAACTGATTTCTGATGGCAATGGCCTTAACCAGTCGATTGGTCTTTGTATTGGCGTTGAAGTTTCGAATTAGAATCCTTAAGGAGGCTCATGGTTAACTCACTAAGAGTGTATTTGATTGAATTCTATGAGTTATGATACCCTTTATCATCTAACTGGTTTTGGTATCACTCCAAAAGTGTAATACAACATTGAGAATAATTCAACTTTATCTCCTTTTCCCTTGCTTGAAGACCCTGTTGAAGTGAATCCAGAAGTCTGGAAAGAACAGAGATCAGATTTTCGAGGGAGAAAAAAGGGTAACCAAGTGCACGAGACTTGCAACACTGCAGGGTAAGGGGAGAGTTGGATGTACACAGACTGTATCCGTGATCCTGTATCTGTGTTGTTACCCAAGGGATATGACGAACTCAAAACACAAACATAACTTACTGAACTTAAACTCAACATTACCATGCCTTATCTGGATCCTGTGCTTCACAGAAGCGTGGTTTCTTGAACACTTTCCGATTGATTTTACAGTGCATATGATTAGTGGGTTTCTTCCAAATTGCAAGATCCTCCTTCTGTGCCAATTTCTTCCAGCATAGGCTTCTTGCTAAGCTCTCAATTCCATCTTGTTCTGCTTTAAGATCTTCGCGTGTTCTCTCCCAGCCTTTCCAGTGTTTCTCCCAATTTATAGGAGGTCCTGATAGAACCCAATGCCCACCAGGACGCAAAATTCGATCAACTTCAATCAAGTAAAGACCATCTGCACAAAAATTCAAAACATACAATCAAATCAATGTTTCAAACCTCAGAAAACATAGAATGGAAAAAGTAATGCAACAAATGAATTAGATTACCATTCCTGCCCCAAGGGATGAGGCAGCGAGAACAGTGAGCCATGTCGAAAGATCTTGAAGGGTAAGGTAGCCTAATGGAAGCTAGAACACCAATCAATGCAGGAACGCCGCGTTCTAGAGCAAATTGCACCTGTGCTTCATGGCTGTCTTTTGGTGCAAACGACATTGTTATGATGTTCCGGGACAGAAGGTAAGCGCCCCAACTTGCAACCTGCAAATAATTGGACAGAATAACAAGCTCAAAATCAACTCTCTTTCCCCTTGGATGATGTAACTTCAAATAAGTAAGTAATATTTTTCTATGTTGTTCTAACTGATTGAATTGAACCATTAGCAATGCATACTTTTCTAGGCCATTAGCCTCCAATGTATAAAAGAAATTACCTTCTTGTTTCCATTTTCATAACTATAAAAGAAAAGGTAAATGCAAATAAGAAATTTTCTTTCAGATTCTTAGGTGATAGTCGCAAAAAATAGAGAGATGAAGGGGTAGTAGTGTGCGTGCTGCATCTTGCACAATATAAACACGAGAACAGATCTCTCCCTTGGTGAACTCGAGTGAGTCAGTCGAATGGTCAACCCTGCTATTTGGAACAGCCTGTGAGGTCCGGTGGTAACCTGGAACGGTAATGGGAGACCCTCGTGGATCAACGGAACGATCCAGTAAGGCTAAGGAAGGTTCCTAGAACAAAGAAAGACAAGTTAGAAGGGCGTCGGAGTGTTTTCTGGCGTATCCCCTCCGACGATCAAGTCAGTTTTTGAGAGAGAGGAAGAAAAAAACACTGAGTATGTATTGTAGCAAAGGTTTTTCGTTGTATACCACCTTGCCTTTTGCGAGGAGTATTTATACCTCAAATATTCATGATTGCTGTCGGTGTGATCAGTAGGTGATCATTAGATACAGGCAACGTGCGCACTGATTCCTACGAGGAATGTCTTCTCTTTTAACTGCTCGGGATCCCGAGCAATCAATGCTGTGTCATCGGGCTGTCGACTGTTCAATGAGCTCCTCTCGGGGAGGATGCAATAAATGTCCGGCCTTAGAGACATTTATTATCTTTCACTTCCGAGCCTTACCGCATTGAATGCAGTCTCATCAAGGGAATGGTGTAATTAAATGCTTGCTTTCTCAAGTCGTGTGTCAGCAAGGGCATGCGGTCTTTCTGTCTCTGATGTGACACAATATGTCACGCGTCCATTCCCCATTGGCTGTGGCCCCTGCCTTCCTGTGCCTTCTGACACCAATTGTGTAAGACGAGGTCATGATAGCTAACTTAGCCTAGCCTAGGCTTGTGACCTGTACATCAATAGCCTCAGTAGGAGTAGAGAACGCCACCCTGGACGGAGGTACATCTCGGACCCGAGGGGGAAGTTCATCTCGGAGCCGAGGGGAGGTGCATATAGCGACCGATGTACCCATATCAGATCGAGGGATACGTGTCGGTTCGTAAACGTACTGGATGCCACTTGATCCCTATGACAAAGTACCTCGGGGGAGAGGAACTTGTGAACCGATGGGTACGTGATCTCAGTAATAGAATTTAGTGACACCAAGGACACGTGTCTTCATCTTGGAGTATTTCGAAAATGTCCCATCAACTGCCCCCGGCCTTCAATCTTCTGACGTCGAGGACACGCGTCGTAAGGAGACGAAGGGTTTTACAACAACCCCAACTGCTTCATCATTGCATTTAGCCGTTTTCTCCTACTTAGGACGTCGTGCGCATTAAATGCGTCTTTTCGTGCTTCGCGCCCAATGATGAGATTGGTACTATATAAATGGGCTTCCTCTCCCCTTTTCTCATTTAGTCATTCCGAACTTTCTCAAGAGAGCCCTTGCCTGAATCTTCGCCGGAGATTTCTTTCCTTCCGTTGCCAACTGCCCATCTTTTTCACTAAAGTCTTAAGGCCAGCAGACCCATCGTTGCTTCTGAACATTCTGGAAGGAGTCGCCTCAAGTTTTCCAGAAAAAACTCCTTTTTACATTCTGGTGAGTCCCAATATCTTTCCTCTCTTCGTCCTTCTGTCCCTTTTGGTTTTTCGATAACTGGTGGTGTCTCTGGTTGCCACTCAGCGACCAATCCTCAGGAAGCTTCCTTGGGGATCTTTGAGGGAAAAACACCCTCCACTTTTTCACTTTTTGGAGATGCCTCGTCGTCGCCCTGTCCCCAAGAATCCTCAAGCTAGTTCTTCGGGGTCAGGGAAGTATAAAGTAAAGGGTGGTGAGCAAATTAATAGGTTTAGGGTCAAGTACAGCATCCCCGTACGTACGTAGACATAGAGGATTATAACCCGGTTGTGCACTCTCGTACCCTCGGGACCGAGGATGCAATGCCCTTTTATACCAAAGTCATCATAGAGGGCAGAATTAGGTTCCCTTTGCCCCCTCTACTTCTCCAGTTCCTCTCCCATTTTCACCTCTTCCCTGGACAGTGTTGTCTTAATGTCTTCAGGATAATTATGGGGGTCCTAGAGCTCAATAGGCGTCTCGGGGTAAATGTTGGGCTAAACTATATCTTTTTTTGCTATTCCCTCTTGAGAGTCATGCCTCAACAACACTTCTACCTCAAAGCCAGGGACTCATCTATGTACCTCGTAACTCATCTTCCTGACTCGGACAAGGGGTACAAGGATGACATACTTATCTTCAAAGGATCTTGGCAGAGAGGTGTCGGTCCCGAGTATAACGGCTTGTTATGCCCTTTGGAATAGAGAACGACAAGTATGTCGGTTCCTTCGGGTCTATTATTTTGTTCTTGAGATTTTCTACGTGTTCATGACTCCTCTCTTTTTTGTTTGTGCAGATGTCCCTGCTCGGGAAACAGCTCCTCCCCCTCGGTCGTTGGTGAACTTTGCTGACCTAGTCACTGTCTGGAGATTTACTGGTGACGACGGGTTCGGCCGGGTTGCCCACATCCTCCTTTATTATACTCCCGGATATAAAAAGTTTTCACAGCTTCCCCAGCCTTTCGAGCCTTCGCGGTGGTCTGAACTTTTCAATCAAGCGGTAAGGGAAGAGGTCGAGGAGAACTTGGAAGAAGACCCTGACCGGGATTCGGAGACAGAAGTAAAGGGTGAAGTTGAAGAGCTCGGGGTCAGAGAGGACTTGGTTCCTTCGCACGCCGAGGTGGGGACTTCGGGGAGAGATTCGTGGCCGGACTTCCAAATCCTACAATCTCTAGACGCCGAGGACGCCCTCAAGGTAGCTATGTCCAGCACGCCCCGCATTGATCTAGGGTTCCTGAGGCAGAGGTAAGCCCTCGCTGCTGGGAGGGGACGAGGATCGACTGGTAGGGCCTTATCTGCAGGGGCCAACGCCACCCCCATCCTCAAGAGTCGTCAGTCGGGGTCAAGTGCGTGACCGGGATCCTCAGGTAAAGGAGGAGAGGAGGGTCAAACATAGGCACGACGGCCTTGGCAGGGGATCCAGGGCCCCCTCCGCTCAGCAGCAAAGTGGGAGGGGTCGTGGGTTACCTCCTGCTCCTCAGCAACAACAGCAACAGCAGCAGCAGCAACAACAGCAACAACGGCAACAACAGACTCTTNGGCCTTGGCAGGGGATCCAGGGCCCCCTCCGCTCAGCAGCAAAGTGGGAGGGGTCGTGGGTTACCTCCTGCTCCTCAGCAACAACAGCAACAGCAGCAGCAGCAACAACAGCAACAACGGCAACAACAGACTCTTCCTCCCCTTCCGCAGACAGTGGAAGCCGCGGAGTGAAATCCTCGAGCCACTGATCACATGAACCGAGTGATCAAGGTTGACGACTCCATTTTACAGGACCCCCATGTCGCCAATGTAGTGAGTGAGATGCTGCATTTCGAGGCCGACATGGTGGCTCACAGGGGGCGATCAACGAACGTGTTGTTTCGCTCTATCATCCAGAATTCCCTGGTGATAAGTTCATCTTTGCTTCAGTCTTTTTTTTTTAGCCACTTTTCTTTTTAGTGACATGTCTTTTCCTTTGCAGGCCACCCAACAAATTTCTATAATAGCGGCGCGGTATCATGGGGCTAGGATAGACCTCCAGCGGGTCCGAGAGCAGAAGAAAGAAGTCGAGGAAGCCCTCGCCAGTGCTAAGGAGGATGTAGCTGTCCGGGATTCCACCCTCGCGGGGCAGGCTGCTCAAATCGAGTAACTCCTCAAGGATGCGGAGTTGGCGAAGGTTGGTGTTGAAAAGCTAAGTGCTGCCCTTGTCGACGCTGAGAGGGGGATTACAGAGCAGACGCAGCGGCTCTCTGCGGCAGAGGAGAGGGCTGTTGGTTCAGAGGAAAGCTGTCTGACTCTGACCCAGGAGCTGGACAGGATCAGGGCTGAGGCACAGAACAGGAAGTCCGAGGAGCAACTCCGAGAAGACGTGTTCCCCGCTCTTGAGGAAAATAGCAAGGAGTTCTTCAAGAAAGGGTAGGATGAGGCACTCCAGTCTGCTGGGATCCCGTCAGACTCCCCGCTCTTCCAAATGCACAAATACGTGTTCTCGGCGGAGATGGAACATGCCAAAGCCGAGATTGCTGCTGAGGGCGTGATTTCAACGCCGGCGCAAGTTTCGGTTGATCCGTCCGAGGCGATAATTGTGGATTTGTCTGATGAGGCCCCGCCAGACCGGGCCCCTGACCATAATATTGCTCAGGATCTCTCTGTTGCCGAAGTACCTTCCACTCTGCCTGCTTCTGAAGATGCTCAACCTTTCTACGCTGATTCGCCCTTGGACGATGTTTTGGAGATGCCCGAGGCCAGATGAAAGCTCTTTTCTTTTCGATTGTACTTTTTTCTCTTGTACCTCTTGGGGACGCAAAACCCCTTTTTTTTTTAAATAAAGCTTTTTTTGGAGTACTTATTCTTTCTTGAGTACACTTTTTTTTTTGTAGGAGTCCTTGAACTGTTCTCAGGGCCTTGCCCATCCAAGAGGCTTGCTCTTTTGTTTGTTTCGGGGGCAAGAGTCCTTGAACTCTGTCCCCATGNTTTTTCTTGTAGCTCTTAGGGACGCAAAGCCCCTCTTTTTGAAATAAAGCTTTTTTGGAGTACTTATACTTTATTGCGTACACTTATCTCTTTTCTTTTCTTTTCTTTTTTTTTTTTGCGTAGGAGTCCCTGAACTCTGTTCTCAGGGCCTTGCCCTTCCAAGAGGCTTGCTCTTGTATTTGTTTTGGGGGCAAGAGTCCTGGAACTCTGTCCCCAGGGCCTTGCCCTTCCAGGAGGCTTGCTTCGGTGTTTGTTTCGGGGGCAGGAGTCCTTGAACTCTGTCCCCAAGGCCTTGCCCTTCCAGGAGGCTTGCTCCTGTATTTGTTTCAGGGGCAGGAGTCCTTGAACCCTGTCCCTAGGGTCTTGCCCTTCCATGAGACTTTGCTCTTGTGTTTGTTTCGGGGGCAAGAGTCCATGAACTCTGTCCCCAGGGCCTTGCCCTTCCAGGAGGCTTGTTCCTGTGTTTGCTTCGGGGGCAGGAGTCCTTGAACTCTGTCCCTAGGGCCTTGCCCTTCCAGGAAGCTTGCTCCTGTGTTTGTTTCGGGGGCAGGAGTCCTTGAACTCTGTCCCCAGGGCCTTGTCTTTTATCTTTGTCGTTGGCGAG